GTGAAGAACTAATTTTTAGAATCCACAATGTTGCTAACAGGAAATGTTGTATCAAAAGCCACATTTGACAGCTGAATTCCTGTCTTAGGCCAGCATCAGCAAGTGCTGTACAGATTGCATTTCTTCCCGAGGGGTAGTAAAATTGTAGTAGTTCAACCTGTTTCACTGTCAACAGCCATTTTCCCTTTATTTGAAATAATTTTGTCTTGGTTACCCTTAACTAATTCAGCCTCAGTCTTAGTTAAGTATTCAAAAAAATCTCTTTAATAGCTATTTGCTCTCTGATCTCTCTCACCTGACATTTGCTACTGCCCCTCTTTTCTGAGGTATGTGAATTTTCTCTGATGAGCATGGATGTGTACTGTCTTATTTTATAACAGTCCCATTTTTTTCCTCCATGAAAGTTCACTAAACCACTGGTCTTTAAATGTCCAGATAACCATTTCACTTTATTTGCATCTTTATTCTTGAATCTTTGTGATTAGAACTGGAATTTTGCTTCATTTTCTGCCTTGAAAATATTTCACTTTCCATGTTATTAGATGGAAACTTCAATTTGCTCCTACGTTTAGTTCTGTTTCCCTGCTTAACCTCAAAGACAGTGGATACTGCTCTTTGTTCAGGTATAAATCTGATTTCCTTTCTAAAAATTCCTGAATGTTATGCCTTTGCAGGAGCCTCAGGGAACTCAGCCAGCATATGAGCAACAGCAGCAGTTTGGCCCATGCCACTATGAGATGAAACAGTTTTTGGAGTGTGCACAGAACCAGAGTGACCTTAAGCTTTGTGAGGGTTTCAGCGAGGTGCTGAAACAGTGCAAATTTGCAAATGGTAGGTGATCTATTATTCCATGATTGAACTTGCATATGCTTGATTCATTTAATGGTGGTGCTCCTGGACCCTGTGGAACTTGGGGAATCTGCGTTTAATAAATTAAACCAACAAATTAGAGGAGATTTTATTAAAATTACTCTAAAAGTAAGCTAACTTCTAACTAGGAGCTGGCCCAGAGGTTCCTAGTCATTATCTTAATCTTTTACCAGTTGTTTTCAATCTGATTCTTCCTTAAACAAATATAGTGTGTCAGATCACACTGTGGTTAACTGCATGTGAGTGATCTAGACATAAGACTATGAATGCAAGATTCCATTTTCACCAAAGTCCCAGGAAATGCACATAAAGACTCTGATATTATTGCCATTCAGTATGCCTCTGGAGACAAATGTATTGGAACAATAAAAAATTTAAGGAAAAAATATACTAAAAATTAATTTGTAAAGAACAAAAACAAAACATGCCTCATTTGAGAGAGGTAAGTTTATTAAATTGCTCAGCAGAACTCTTAGATTTAAGCTCTCTTGAATGTCAATTTGTTTTCACTAAGTATCTATCAACCTAAGAATTCACTATCTGGTAAAATGCTTATTTTTATTTTCCCACCTTCATTTGGTAGGACATAAGGGAAAGTTTACCTTTTCGGGTGGTTGAACTGTGGAAGTAAGAGATTGCATGTCCAAGTTTATCAGAATTATTTGGTGAAGCTATATCTAGTATCAAAGTTGCTAAATTTCTGCTTCAGGACTCTGTCCTCAGAAGCACATGTGCCCTGTCTTTCCTCAGTTGTGGCAAGTGCAGGGTTGAAGTTTTATTGGTTTCAGGATACCTTCAATAACTTATGAAAGCAGCCTGGGTTGTTGGGTGGGCTTCTGTTAAGAATGTACAGCAGGTGCTCTTCTAATGTACCTTTTTTGTTTGCAGGATTAGCCTAATCAAGAAGTTCATTTTGAAGAAATGGAAAATCTTCTCTCATGACCAAGTTAATTTAATATAAAGATAAAATTGATAGTGAAAGTATGAAGCTACCAGTTAAACCTCTCCTATCATTAATAGTTTCCTTGCCTCAGAATTGCAATGGGAAAGAGTGTTCTTACTATATAGAAGTTCACTGAGGTGGTACTGAGTTTCAGGCTGGGCAGATGTTTGTGTGGCCTCCTTAAAAACCATCTTTTGTGATGTTACTGTTTGTGAATCAATTAAAATAAAGTGATTTTTCTTCCAAAATGGTGTCTGATAAGTGTAAAGTCATAAATTAGATATGATATATGCGTGCTGAATGCAAGTATTTTGCACAACAGCATAATTGTCTCAACATGTATTTAAGTTTATCTAGTTTTTAGTCTTTGGTTATGAAATGAACATTCCCCCAGAGGATCTGGTAGAGCTCCCTGAAGGAATTTTAGTGGTGAAATAGTTATGTAAGGAGTAGTTCACTAGCAAACATGCTCTTAAAAAAAGGTTTCAGGTACTATTGGCCTTGGGAGTCAATGTTCAATAAACTGAGCAATAACAAGAAACTTAAAATACTCGTTCTTATCAGGTGAATGATCAATGGATTCTCTGCAGCCAGGTCAACACTGCATGTCACTGTTACCCTAGAATATCCAAGTGGTCAGAGATGAAAACCATTCTATTAATGAAGGCAGTTCTCAAGCATGTTGTTCTATTTGAGGGGTTTTTTTTTTGTTTTTTTTAATGAGCCAAGCTCCGAGCCTCAAAGAACTGAACATTTTATTCATGTTGGAGTTGACCTCCAGGTCTACACATGTTTCCACGCTTTTCCGACTTTCAAATGTACCTGTAATAGTTTCTGTTACCTGTTTTTTTTCCCCAAGTCTTAGAGATCTTTATCAGGTGAGTGAGTTGATGTTGGATGAGTGAATTATTCAATTGCCTCTGGTTCTCATCTATGTTCTCTGAGTGCCCTATTCTACCAAATCATTCAGTTTCTGGAAGGGGCTGAAACTTCCTTGCCTGAGCACCTGAATGACCACAGTTCACTCAGCAAGTCTTCCAGCACATTTCCTCCTGGGTTCATCAGTAAGCTCCCTTGCCCATTTTTCTGGAGGCTCAGGACCAAAGTTCATGGTGTTAATGTCCATAACATCCAAAGTGTGATGGGGTATAGCAAGTACCCAAATACTGCTACCGGTAAATTGGTGAATCAAAGGAAAATGAATCACTGACATCAATAAAATACAAGTCTGGCTGGCCTGGCTTCTCCCTGGTAGGAACCATGGGTCCACAGAGAAGGGCACAAAAACCTAGGTGCATTGTCCTTTTGCCCTAAGGTCAGAAGGGATTTCCTCATGTACTGAAAATACAAACGTGTGAGGGGAAGGCAGACGCCCGCAGAGCCGCTCTGGGTTGCCACAGATGGGGAAGTAAGTTGTTCCAAACACTTCTCGGTCTGCCAGAGGGGGTGGCGATTCCCTCTAGTGCAGAATGCCCTGAGCCCCTGTGTTCAATGGCTTTTATTGAAAAAGTTATCCGTGGGGACTAGGTAGTAGGAAAGTACAGGTAATCTTGTTACATCAGTACGTTAATGTTTACAGAGAATAGGTGATGTATGAGGAAGACAAAGGGCAGGAACACATTGATTTGCATGGGTCTGAGACAAGTAAGCAAGAGCGCCAAATGGTTTAGGGTCAGAGTCTATGAATAACGTAAATTTCCTCCCAGTGTTAGCCAGTTGTCATAGCTTTGAGGGAAAAACAAATCATGCTTCAAGGAATTTACTTCTAGGCCTGATTTCCCCCCAGGAATCACCCAATCCAGTTTAGGGCTGCCTCTAGTATTGTTTCAAGCCTGAGCCAACCCAGCGGAGCAGAGCAGCCAAGAGATGGGGAGACTTATTTCAGATAGAATGAGGACTCTGGCCATATCAAAGCTGAAGGGTGAGAGTCTTTTGCCCTTTCTCTGTGTCCACCAAGTCCTTCCCTGATGGCCCCTATGCAACTGTGCCTGTCTTAGGTTGCCCCTGCCATCGAGGGGTCTTACCCATCATTAACTAACCAGCCATCCTCCGGGGCCAAGCAGGGTGATGTGAGAGAGGCAGGGCCTGCGCCCCTGCCACAGGGACAGGTTTTGTCTCCTTAGTGGCCTATTTTCCCAAGGCCTCCTTAGCTCCAGCCTTGGGGCCCTCCCGCCTGTCAACGAGGCTACAGTTCCTGAAACCAGGCAGGACAGTTCCCAACACTAGTGTGAGTCAAGTCATTCGCTTAGAACTAGGAAAACAAGGCTCATTGACAATAAGTAAAAGGAGGAGATTGAGGTGTTTTAATCCTTAGGGCCACATGTTACATCTCGAGCTAAAAGCCTTTATGCATGAAACTTATACCCTGATGTCATTTTCAACTCCTTTCTATGTAGCAATATAGTGAAGTATTTTCCTGAGAGTGAAAATTAGATGCTCAGCATAATATAACACAAAGAACAATTGGGCCCACATCTGGGGTTAATCTAGGCCCTCATCTATTTTTTGATGGTGAACAAGTCACATTCTCCTAAAATTGGCTAATACCAGAGTTTTGGGGTCCAAGTGAAATGCTTTGTAAGATGCTAGTTAACTGGGTGTTTATGGGCTCAGCTCCAGTGAAGCACTGTATTACCCCTCCCTTCCTCTTGTATACTAGAATTAAGGCTTTGAGAAAAGTTTGCCTTAGAATAAGGGAAAGCAATAAACAATGGTCTACTGTGTACCAGCATGTTGCAGACATTATTTCCAATTCTGTCAGCCTCTTAAGACTAGAATCATACTGATGAGGACCCTCACCCAAAAAGGCCAAAGTCACACACAGTCCGTACGCTTTTCCCAGCACACAGAACTCTTCCAGTAGACACTGCAGGCTGAAAACAGAATGGGTTAAGAATGAAATAATGGAGGCAGATCAGAGTCAATTCCTGAGGGAGATGTTCCCTAGCCTTTAAGTGCAGTTTGTAGGGCAGCCACGCACACTTGTCCCTGAGCAGATCCTGATGTCCAGGTGTGAACACAGTAGTGTCGGTGCACCAGTGTGCTGTTTTTCGTGGTCACAGCAAACACAGAAATTGCTCCCAGAGAAGCAGGTTGGCTTTATATCCTCTGGGCCTGGAGGCAAAGTGAGCTCCAGAAGAAAGATTGGTCACCTCACCCTGCCATGCCTGGTCCCAGGTCACTCGAACTTCCCTCACCCTCCACCAGAGGTCACCCCTGGTGAGACTTGGCTTGCATCCCGGGTTTGCAGTTGTGATTTATTTTTGGCACCTCAGCCTTGCCTCATCAAGTAGCACAGCACGAAGAAGAGCAGCAAAATATCCTGCTCCGGCCACGAGTGTCTGCTTGAGACGCACTTCAGTCCTCTATTGTCCCTTCTCCCCAAGGGGCTCTGGGACCTTTGAGATTCCTGTCAAGTTCACTCAAGGGCGTGCAAGGACCTAACGGTGAGTAGCTGGTCCAGTGATGGACAAAAGCCAGGCGGCAGACAGGAGCGGGAGCGGCTGTGGGGTAGAGAAGATAGAAACCCTGAAGTCAATTAGACCCACTTCTCCCTTCTGAAGGCAGATGGACAGAAGAGAGGCTGCATTGGCTCTTGAAGCCCCCTCCAGAAGAATTTATCCATAGAAAGTGGGTCCCCGTGACTGTGTTTTCAGACTGAATTTGGGGGAGGGATGTTATTCCAGAAAGGACTAAACCCATTTGCCAGCCCTCTTCAAAGGGGTCTTGGAAACAGTGTGAAGGGAGCTAGTGGGGGCAGTGAACAGAGGAACAAAGTCAGTCCCAAGTCAGGCCTAAAACTAGGGGAGGAGGCAAGAGAAACCTCCCTCCCCCTACCCACCAGGAGAGACAAATGCCGTCAGAACTCGCTGCACCTGGCTAACCTTTGGGGCCTGGTGGCCTGATGTCCTGGCCATGGAATGGATGCCCCAGCGAGGATGGCATCCTGCAGTGAGTTCAGACAGACGCTCTGCCCATGGAGGGCTGGGGAAAGGGAAATATCTAGTGCTACTGAGCTTTGGGAACTTAAAAGGACTTGCCAGGAAATGAACTTGTTTTTATGGAGAACAGGCTCTCCTATGCTCAGCTGCAATTGCTGATAGGGCAGAAGCAGCCTATGAGCAGCCCCGGCGCCTGCTGCTGGCAGAAGAGACTGTTATTCCTATCCTTCTCCTCACAACCAGACACCCAGCAGTGGGGATACCAGGCTTCCTGGAACTGCCAGCCTGAGTCCTGAGGCAGCCAGGGCTGCAGCTTGGCTGGTCAGCAAATTGGCCCTTCTGACAGGCCAGGCCTAGTTGGGCCCAGAAAAGGCAGTAGAAGGGGAGCTAATGGCAGTTTTGGCCCCGCTGAGTGGCAGCTTGTGCCTGTTTTTTTCTATATGCTCTTCTTCTTATCGGTAGATGACTTTCTCCATCCCTCATATCCTTTATCTGAGGTCAGTACCCCAGGGTCTGTACATAGAGAAGCAAAGCTGGCCAGCTCGGCTCCTCTGTGTCCAGGTCTGAGCATCCTAACTCTGTATGGCCCCACACTGTGGCAGGACCCTTCGGGGCTCACCGGTCATCGTTAGGTAGGGCAGGGGGTAGTTTGCCGACAGGACCCTGGACCAAAGGGATACCTTCAATCATCAGCTCTCATCTAGGGAGTAGCATCTCCTACATATCTGCACTGGACACAGACAAGTGGGATGGCTGGGAAGTGGGACGTCCTAAAGAAGATCACAGTGTAATGGGGGAGGCGACAGCACACACCGATGGGTGGTACCAGAGGCTGGGACCAGGATTCCCTCGCCAAGCTCTGCATTCCTCAGAGCATCTGGCAAAGTGCTTTACGAAGAGTATAAAAGAATGAACAAACAAAAGAGTGATAATGAAAGTCCAGGTTAAGGACAAAATGAGTGAGGAAGGGGCAGTGGGAAGGTCCGGAAGCATATTCTGAAAGAAGGGGTGTTTCCAGGTTCAGACAGTTAAGACTGGGGTAAATAAGGAGAGGCTGTAAGAGCTGCATACTAAGAAGAAATTGTGCTCTAGCCAGGTGGTTCAGTTGGTTGGAGCATCGTTCCATACACCAAAAGGCTGAGGGTTTAATTCCTAATCAGGACACAGATCTAGGCTGCGAGTTCCATCCCGAGTCAGGGCGTGTATGGGAGGCAACTAATTGGTATTTCTCTTTCACATTGATGTTTCTCTCTCTCCCCCCCCCCCAACCTTCTCTCTTTCTAAAATCAATAAACATCCTTGGATGAGGATTTTAAAAAATAAAAGAAAATGAAATTATGAAGACTTTTCCACAAGTGCAGAGAACAGGTAGAGAAAAAGAAGCACCAGCCTCGTTTCCTCAGAGAGGAAAGGAAACAGCACTTTAATTTGTCCTCTGAAGAGTTTCTCTGTGGTTCTTTCTAAAATCAAAGGTGCACCTGCTTCCTCAAGGCTAACCTTGGAGCCTGGGCCTGGCTGACTACTAGCCTCTCCTACAAGGGCAGCAGCAGTTCTCAGCGAGAACATGCAGGGAGACATGGTCACCTGGGCTCACAAGAGTTCACAGCCAGTTTGTAAGAACAATGCTGGGCTCTTTTCAGAACGTTTTTCCAATTCACAATCATTTATTTTGAACATTCACAATACGCCAGCCCTGTGCCAGGAGAGACAAAGATGGGTGAAAAATGGTTCCAGCCCTCAAAAGGCACATCCCCTAGGTCAGGGAAGGCTGACAGTTTCTTTCTGTTCCCCTCGCAGAGCCCTTCAGGATCACTCCAAGGAGCTGAGCATGACACGGGACGAGGCACTGCTGGACTCACATTCTGCACAGGGCTTCTATGAGAATTATGAGACCAAGGAGATCCTGGGCAGGTAAGGCCCAGACCTTCCCCAGGAAATGCTGTCCTCGGCCCCAGCCGGCTCTGCTGGGCGGGCCAGTCTCTGCTCCACCCTGAGCACTGAGCCCATTTCCATCCCCTAAGCACTTGGAGAATCCTTCAGTTCAGGTCCTCCCCTCCTGAACAGGACAGATAAGCGGGTATAGGAGTGCCCGAATTGGAGACTTCTCCTGACAAAGCGCTTCCCGCTTTGCCCTGACCGATGCTGATGACAGGCATGTGAAAACTCAGCTCTGGGCCAAGGTTGGGAGTCAGGGGTCAGAGGAAACTTTGGCATCAAGACTGTACAGCTTCTTTCTATGTGTGAAAGAACACTGAACTGGCAGTTAAAAGACCTGAGACCAGGCTTATGACTCATCAGCTGCCCGCAAATCGCCCTTTCTGTGCCTTCTCATCCTACTGCCCCCAAAAGCTCACAGGGAGTTGGGGTGGTGGGGGGGGGGGAGGCAAGGCAGAACATCTCTGCTGTGGCCTGGACTTGGGACACGCCCTGCGGTGAGGGGTCCTGGGACCACCTGTCCTCTGCATCGCCCCCCACAGGGGAGTTAGCAGTGTCGTCAGGCGCTGTATCCACAAGCCCACATGGCAGGAGTACGCTGTGAAGATCATTGACATCACCGGAGGGGGCAGTTTCAGCTCCAAGGAAGTGCAGGAGCTGCGACAGGCCACGCTGAAGGAGGTGGACATCCTGCACAAGGTGTCAGGGTACCCCAACATAAGTGAGTGAGGGCGCCAAGCCACCGGGGGGGTGCTCTGCCATGCTTCTGCCCGGATAACCCCAGTCAGGGAGCTGCTGTGCGCCTAGCCAGATCTGTTCAGAGTGCCCCCGGCACCCTGAGGCCCCACCAGCCCCGTGCCCTAAGGCTTGCAGTTCCCAGCTCCAACCACCAGGAAGGCTTCTCTGGGAATTCAGCTCCAAGCCTCCTCTTCCAGCCAGACAGAAGGGGTCACAGGCAGGGCTGGGGCTGGGGGAGGGTGGGGGTAGGGGTGTGAAGTCCCTGGGCCTGCCCCCTCCCCAGTGGGCCTCCTTTAAGTACCTTCCAGATACCTGCTCCACTTTTGAAGTCAGCTCCGGCAGCCTTAACCCCCCTGCCCCTACGCGCCACTGCCTCTGCCCAGGCTCCTCTGCTACCTGAGACAAGCCAGCCATTTCCATTTCAGTACAGCTGAAGGACACTTATGAGACCAACACTTCCTTCTTCTTGGTGTTTGATCTGTAAGTACTCAGTTCTGGTGCCAGCCATACCTGAGGACCTAGCACTGTGGCCCCCCACCCAGGGCTTCCTGGAGACTCGCAGCCTGCCCCCTGCACTGTGGATGCCAAACAGGGTCACGAGTGCTTTAGGCGAGATCAGCCCCTGGGGTCGGTCTGCTAGGTTTTGATTCCTTGGTCCACCACTTATAGGCTGGATATTTTTTTAAGTATCAGTTTTCTCATCAGTATTGCAGGGGTAATAATTGCACAGTTACTGACACAATGGACATGTTAATAACTATTAGCTTCAACGGTGATGATGCTGGTCATTCATACTTATTTTAGACATTGAGAAAACAGCAATGAACAAGATAGATAAGGTTCCTGACTTCATGTAATAGTTTTCACAGGCAGTGAACAAAAAACATCAAGCCATAACTGACACATGTAACTACGTCCATGTAATACATGAAGGTGAACCACAGTTAGAGAGAGGCGGGGCTTCTTTAGATGACGTGGTCAGGGAAGGTTCTCCAGGGAGTGACCTGAGCAGAGACCTGGATGAAGTGAGGGAGGAATCAAACCAAGACCTGGAGAGGGAGCCTCTCAGCCGATGGAGAGGCAGAGCAGGGCCCCTGCTGGGAGGACTGGCAAGGAGGCCAGGGTGGGGGAGCGGAGCAAGCTCACGCTGACAGCAGGATGCGAGGCCGGGCAAGACCGAAGACCAGATTCTGCAGGCCTTTTAGCCACGGTAAGGACTTTGGAGGGGTCACCCGGAGGGTAATGGGATCTGATTTATTTTTGGAAAGGATCCCACAGACTGTCGGAGGCCAGAGCGGAAAGGAGGAGGCAGCAGTATTGAGGCAAGAGACCCAGCGGGGAGGTAGAGGTTATAGTTGGGGTGCGGTTCTAAGACGGACATCAGCACCATCTTCAGGGTCACTGTTCCCCTGCTTCTGCACTAGCGGAGCTATTGAGAGGAGCTCCTCTGCTTTCTCAAGAAAGGAACAATGACGCCGACCACTCTGCCTAGGTCACCAGGCTCTAAGCATCAAATTCAAGCAACAGAAAGTGCTCTGTGAATGGTGCGTTCAGTCATTATTACCAATTTGTTAGAAAAGATCTCCAGGGAAAAGCACTCTCTGGCTCCTTCTTCCCCACTCCGCTGGGTCCTCCCTAAAGAATAGAAATCTCTGCCATGTGATTCACTATTAACAGGGTGTCTTGATCTCTCCATACATAACGGCTAGTTTAGGGACTAGATTTCTTGACAAATTATTCAAGTATATTTTGTATTGTTGGAACATTTCATACTGTAGCCACCCTGAATGTGTGCAGTGTTATTTTACGTGGAGAAACAATTTAACTTGGCAAGTGTATACAATTAACCCACCAGCGCCAGGAAGGCAGGAGCCTGCTGATGTACCTTGCACAGTCCTCATATTTATAGGTAAACCTTTTTGTTGCTATTTTTTGTTGCTGTTGCTATTGCTAATAGTGAGTCCTCCTAGTATCTTTAAAATGGAATTAAAATGACAAAAACTGGATTCACATGTTGCTTTTCAGGTACACAGTACAGATACTGTATAAAACAAGGCTCACCTCTGTAAAAGCTAGGTTGTTTTCTCAAGCAGAACCCTCCTCCCTGCCCAAGCAGCTAAGCTCAATGGTTTTCTTGCCCCTCTGTGACACTGGCAAAGTCCCTTGTGCCCTAGGAATCCTAGAACATCCTCTTTCCCCACAAGGGTGGACGAGAAGGGGCAGGGTACACCTTTCCTGTTTATTCCTCAAAGACTTTCCCAGGGTCCTTAAGACTGGATCAGCCTCAGCTGTCCCAGCTCTGCTCAGTGGCTCTGTCCTTTGGGACAGCTCAAATGTCTCTAACCTTTGAAGAGGTTGCTTGAGGAATCTATTTTTAATGCTGCCCCAAGTTGCCCTCCAGCGTATAACTAGATTGTTCTAGCCGAGACCTCTTTATAGATCATCCCAAGAAGTGAGAAGAGTGAACTGCAATTCTTAATCCTAAAATAGGCAAAACTGCTCCTCCAACACCAGTAATGCCACTTCTTCCATTTGTTCCTGAAAAAAACCAGGATACTCTTGTCCTTCTGCTTTGGGCCTGGGCCCTTAGGCCAGGAGGACCTTGGGCCAGTTTTTCACCTCCCAGGCCTGGTACTTCCCAGTCCATGCCGTTCTCACCTCCCACCCCTGATACTTCCACAGACCGGGACAGGGGGGACCCTCACTCTGGGGCTCTCCCGCCCCTCCAGCCTGCCTTGCTCTTCTTCCAGCCTTCCCAGACAACCTCTCCACTCCCCCGCTCCTCCCTGCAGACCTTGGTCCTTTGCCTCTGGAGGTATTAGCGTGAAAAACAGCTCTCCGGAAGCAGGGTAAGAAGGGGGTGGTCTTGGGACCAATCCAGCTACAAACCCTCTGTCCCCACAGAATGAAAAAAGGGGAGCTCTTTGATTACCTCACTGAGAAGGTCACCCTGAGTGAGAAGGAAACCAGGTAAGTATCCACTTGCCCCTCTCCCCCTCCCTGCCCGAGTCCTAGTGCTTACAGGCACCAAGGGCTTCAAGGGGGCGTGGAGCGCACCTGTGTGGGCTGGGGGTATGCACCGCTGGCTTTTGTGACCTCCTTCCCTCCTTGGCTTGGCCTAGACAGTTCAAGGCTGTCCCGAGTCCTCTCTCACTTGCAGTCCGGCTGGTATGCGGGCTTTGGTCTCCCTGCCTGCTCCCTGACCCTGCGGGGTAGGAGATGAGAGTAACACATGCCTGTCCCACCCCAGGAAGATTATGAGATCCCTGCTGGAGGTGATCTGCACCTTGCACAAACTCAACATCGTACATCGGGATCTGAAGCCCGAGAACATCCTCTTGGATGATGACATGAACATCAAGCTCACGGACTTTGGCTTTTCCTGCCAGCTGGAACCAGGAGAGAAGCTACGAGGTCTGGTGACATGAGCTTGGCCCATGCCAGGGGCTCAGGCTTTCTCATCAACTCTCCCAGGAACAGAGATTGCCCGGTTTTCTCCCCTACTTCCCCCCAACCCTCAGAATAAAAATCCTGCCATTTCGGGGCTACATGACTTCTCAGGTAGGGTAATCAAAGGTATTAGCGTGAAAATACCTTTTTGGGACTGAGTTGAGCCAGGTTCTAACTGCCTGAGCTCTAGACCAGAATGGCTAGATGTAACCAGGGAACAGACAGGCCCCAAGTGGGTGGCCCTATGAGCCAGCTCTAGCCCCTCCCCTTGGCCCTGAAGTTGGCCAGTGCTAGGAGAGCCCCAGCCCAAGCACCATTTTGGTTCCATCTTATTTCTTTGGACCTTCTTCTTCCAAGTGCCCTGGCTGACCTACCCTGACGGTAACTCTTCCTGCAGAGATCTGTGGGACTCCCAGTTACCTGGCCCCTGAGATCATTGAGTGCTCCATGAACGATGACCACCCAGGCTACGGGAAGGAGGTGGATATGTGAGTATGTTTGGGGAAGGGGCAGGGATGCCACCATGACCAGAACACCTGACTGCGGAGGGGAGGACTTGGCTGGAGCTACGGCCAGCCCTCCTGCCTTCCTCCCCACCCGCCTGGTGCCAGGTGGAGCACAGGGGTCATCATGTACACCCTGCTGGCTGGCTCCCCGCCCTTCTGGCACCGCAAGCAGATGCTGATGCTGAGGATGATCATGAGTGGCAACTACCAGTTTGGCTCACCCGAGTGGGATGACTACTCGGACACGGTGAAAGACTTGGTGAGGGGCCAGGCCCGCTGGCTCCCGGGCTCAGGCAAGGGGGGAAGCCCACCATGCGGGAGGGGAGGATGCCGTGGAGAGGTCTGCCAGGAGAGAGCCTCTGTCTTCTGAAGTGCTGGAGGGGGCCCTGCGTCGACGTTTTCAGTACCCATCCCCTTGTTCTCTCAGGTCTCCCGCTTCTTGGTGGTGAACCCCCAGGGCCGCCTTTCAGCAGAAGAGGCCTTAGCGCATCCCTTCTTCCAGCAGTATGATGTGGAAGAAGTGCGCCACTTCAGCCCCAGGGGGAAGTTCAAGGTACTGACACTCCCTTCCCACCCAGGGCCCTGGGACCACTGCTGCCGCCTCCTCCAGTCCAAGCCACCAATTCCGCTTCTTTCCCTCCAGGAACTACTACTTACACTCCTAGGGTTTCCAGGGCACCTGCCCTTCCCCTCCCATCTACCTGTGAGGGTTCCGGGGACCTTTTCTGGCTTCAGCAAGACATGCCACCTGACTGGCTCCAACAATCTAAATGCTGGTGGGGTCGGAATGGCAGTAACACTAGGGGGGGCCCAGTGGAAGCCTCGCCAGCCTGCATGGCAAAAAGCTCAGGGCCTCCCTGCACTGGAGCAGGAGGGGACACCTGCAGGGGCTAGCCCAGGCTCTCAGTCCTGCACCTCCGCAGGTGATTGCTCTGACAGTGCTGGCTTCAGTGCGGATCTACTACCAGTACCACCGGGTGAAGCCTGTGACCCGGGAGATCGTCATTCGTGACCCCTATGCCCTCCGGCCTCTGCGCCGACTCATCGATGCCTACGCGTTCCGAATCTATGGCCACTGGGTGAAGAAGGGCCAGCAGCAGAACCGGGCTGCCCTCTTTGAGAACACACCCAAGGCCGTGCTCCTCTCCCTGGTTGAGGACTACTGAGAGAGGGCGGGAGGGATGGGGGAGTAGGGGCAGGCAGGGAGGGGAAGCCACAGAAACGTTAGTCAAAGGAATGAGATTGTGTGCTGACACCTGTGCTGAGGGCACACTTGGTCCTGGCCAGGACTCCTGGGACTGGGCCATTATCCCCTTGAGAGGCTGTGCACAAGAGCAGGGCACCCCCATCACACAAAGGTGCAGCGAGGGCCAGGCCCACAGGGGAGGGGACTAGATGTGGTCTGACAGCCAGGGGCTTCCTACTCCTCTTCCCAGTTTACCACCGTCTGAGTTTCTCCTCATAGGAGGCCCAGAGCTACTGACACTAGGATGTGCTTCCCTTAGGGTCCCAGTGCGAGGATCAAAGACAGGCAACAGTCTGAGACATACGATCACATGAGATTTTACTGACCTCACATCCTGTGACACCATGGGAGCAGGTTCTTCCCTAAGGGACAATGTTCTAGAGCCATAGCAAAACCCTTCACATAATTAACAATCGAAAGAGGAACTTCTCACATTTGTCTTTCTGGAGTATTATTACTTTGTGACTTCCATGATGCACAGTTTGGCCTGGTAAATATTCAGTTCTCCTAGACCCTTTAAAGACTGACATTGTGCTTTAAAGAGCCCTCATTACTTCATTTTATGTACTAGTGGAAATTAGGTTCCTTCAAAGACACATAAAACACTATGAATGAGGCAAATGAAAGAAGCATTTTTTTTCACAGCAATTTGCTGGGAAAGCAGTGTCAGATCCCTGAATCAGACACCGAAATGGGGGAGGGAACAGATTTAAAATTTTTTAACAAACTGCCTTTAAGAGCACTCTGCCTCAATTGTTTGAGAATTTGGCCCCTGTATGGTTAATATTTGACCTCTGAGAGAGAAACACCCAGCTCCCGACCACAATCAGTGGCCTCCCCCTGATTCCCCAAGAGACAGTGGCCTCCTCTGAGGTGAAAAGGCCTCTCCCACCTGGTCACAAAGAGATGGGGGAGGGGAAGGCAGTCACTCCGGAGGCTGAAGTTGAAGAGCTTGAGTTTGGCTGCGTTTGGAATGTGGCCAGGGAGTGGCCCAGGTACCACGGGGCTCTCCTTCCTGGCTCTGCGGGGCTGCTCACAGCTCCCGGGGCAGTCGGCCTACACTGGAAGCACAGCGGAAGCCTAGGTTGTCTGAGGCTGAATCTGGAGTGTTGCCCATCCTGCCACCAAAGGAGAGGAGAGAAAATGAACATTTGTTGAGAAAGTGGCCTTGGGCCTTACCCAACTTTCCTGTTCCACCTTCCAGGGCCTGCTGTGGTCTAGGGTGCCTGAGGACTGCGGAGGGCGTGGTATGGAAAGAAGCTTGGTCTGAGGGTGCCCCTGGGGATACGAAGTGGCACTGGGACAGGCTGGAAGAAGTGAGAGTGGTCCTGGGAGATTGCATTGGAGGGCAGGAAAGGCCATGACTAATAACTTTGACTGTTGGTAGTTAGGAGTAACTCAGCCAAGGAAATCTGTCTGCAAGAAGTGAGAATATCATAGGCCCTGGCTGGGAAGCTTAGTTGGTTCGAGTGTCATCCTGATATGCCAAGGTTGTGATTTCAATTCCCAGTCAGGGCACATATAATAATCAACCAATGAATGCATAAATAAGCAGAACAACAAATCGATGTTTTTCTCTCTCTTTTTCTCTTCCTTCTCCCTTCTCTCTCTTTAATCAACCAATATTTTTTTTTAAAGTGTGATATCATAGTGCCGACCAGTTATGCATACTTTTCAAGAAGTTTCACATATATTCCCTTATTTCCCAACTGCTCTGGCAGGCAGAATTTGTTCACCAATTTATAGACTCAGGATCAGATACTGGAAAGGGTTAAATTTCTTGCCCAAGGCCAACCACTGCTTCAACAGTACAACAGAATCCATTTCAAACCCAGTTTCCTGGTTTGCAGGCCAGTACTTTTCTACTACTTTATTCTAAACAAGGAGGTGAGAGAATACAGGTGCCTCTATAGGTCAAAGGGACACCTGGAAATATGATATCTTGAGGCCGCAGAAACAGTGGCCTCTACAGTCCTTATGGAACCAAGGAGTAGGGGGAGGTGCAGGGAGATCAAACAAAACAAATACACAGATGAACAAAGTAGAAAGTCCTAGAAGGAGCCCAGGAGCCTGGGATTCTACCACTTAGTTGACACCACTAACCATCTGTGTGAAATGAGCAGGTCCTGGGACCCACCTGAGCCCATTTTTAACTCGACTGTAAATCAAAATGTTTGTAGAAAATGATTTTTCATGTGGCCACCAGTATGAAGAGTCAATATTCCCATGACCCATGGCCATGGCCTACTGACGAGGCCATTCTACTTCCCTGCCTCTGAACACCTATTTATAAGGACAGGGAGAGAAACCCACATAATTAAGATTCTGGATACAAAGTCTCCCTTGGTGCTAAGAGCTGAGAAGAAAAGGCACAAGTTGTCCTGGACTGTTTTGTTTTTCCTGGCAAGCGCTGCCTGCTTTCTTTTCTATAACAACTCCTGGTAGAGACGCCGAGGCAGTGCCAGCACCAGTTCTGGTGCCACCTGTGCTCTGGGAGCCCATGTCCCAGGTCCTCAGCCCCCAGCTACCAAGCTCCTCACCTGGTGGTGACCCGGGCCCGGTGATTGGCGGAGCCATCAGACGTGTCGATCCAGGACGCCCCCCGCAGGACACGCATGTCCTGGCCAGCACCCTGGTATGGTGAAGCGGTCCACTCCCACACGTTGCCCAGGAGGTCATAGAGCCCTGCAGCACAGCAGGCGGGTCAGTTCCTTGCTGGGAAGCACCGCGCCCACCCTGCCGGCCATCACAGTCCTGGGAGCAAATGCTTCCCCACGGTGCTGCTTTCTGCCTCATCAGGCAGAATGCTCCCACCAAACAATTTGTGAATGTTGATAGGAACCCAACGCGAAATCTTACCATAGTTATTCTGCGGTGGGAAAGCGTCCACTGGGGAGACTCCATGGAAGCCATCTTCAGCCTTGTCACCCTTGGGGAAATTTCCCTGAGGGGAAGAAATTTAGGGTAAAAAATTTACCATCCGGTCGCACGAGTGTTCCTGCCTGCCCCCAGGAAAACCAAGGTCATCTTGCTGCATCACCTGGAATAGGAGGAAGGGCATGGGGCAGTGCTCTGAGGTATGTTCCCACCCTGAGCTCCCACACCAGTTGCCTCACGTCCTCCCCGCTGAGTTAGGAAGTGTGTGGTTTTCCCTATGCCTGCAGTGGTCCGTGTCAAACCCATCCCACTCCCACTTTCTCCGCTCTCAGAGACCTCGGCCCCTCTGCCTCAAACCCCATCTGCCAGGCACCTTGGGAAGGAAGGCTCCTCTTCCCTTTCTCCACGCTGCGCACGCTCCACCTTCTCAGGAACCACTGATGCCCATTCTATACTCTGCCACCATCTCTTTATCTTCTACCACTGACGGGTTTAACTTCCCTCATCTGCCCTGACTCTCCCTCATCTCTTGCTCCTTGCCACCTAAATTCTTGAAAAAGTAACCCATATTTGTGAATGCAATTTGTTCAACTTGTTCATTTCTCTCATTAAAATTGGGCTCAGCTGCCATGACTCTATGGAAGTTGCTCTTATGAACGGGAAGATGAAGGGGCTCAACACCTCCTATGTGCTAGGGCTGCTACACTTATATCTTTTAACTAATTAATTAATTTTTTATCCTCGCCCAAGGGCATGCTTATTGATTCTAGAGAGAAGGGGAGGAAAGGAGAGAGAGAGGGAGAGAAACATCGATGTCAGAACATCAATCGGTTGCAACCTAGGCATGTGCCCTGATCAAGAATTGAACCTGCAACCCTTTGGTTTACAGGACTAAGCTCCAACCAACTGAGGCACACCAGTCAGGGCTATGTCTTTTAATTTAATCTTTGCAAAGTTGTGAGGTAAGTATTTTCTCCCTTTAAAAAACTAGCAACTGCTTCTGAGCCTGTTCCTGCCCATAAAAGGATTTTGGCCCCTAACAGTAATTGGACACATGCCTGGGTTGCAGATTCAGTCCCCAGTCAGTGTTTCTCTCTCTCATGGATGTTTCTCTCCCTCTTTTTCTCCCTCCCTTCCCGGTCTCTAAAAATAAATAAATAAAATCTTTGGGGGAAAAAAAGACATTGAGACCCTCTATAACTTCCAAATCAAGTATGAGGTAAATGAAAGTGTCAAATTTTAAAAAATTAAATTAAATTAAGAAATAAGAAACTACCTGACTGGTGTGCCTCAGTGGATTGAGCACCGGCCTGCGAACCAAAGCGTTGCTGATTTGATTCCCAGTCAGGGCACGTGCCTGGGTTGCAGGCCAGGTCCCCAGCAGGGGGTGCGTGAGAGGCAACCACACATTGATGTTTTTGTCCCTCTCTCTCTCCCTCCCTTCCCCTCTGTCTAAAAATAAATTTAAAAGAAATATTTTTTAAAAAGTAGAAAATAAAACACTAGCATCTGAGGCTCAAAATGGTTAATTCATCAAAGATCAAACAGTGTACGTCAGAGATCTCTTTCTGCAAAGCTCTGATCCCAAGGTCATGTAAAAGGTCAGCCTCCCGCTCAGGTCCTTTTCAATGCTTCCCCCTAAAATACTGGTGCTGTGCTCCACTCTCTCTGCAGTCTCCTGGGGGAAGGGGAGGTTTCATATTTTCCTAAGGTATATGTTCATGACTTGCAAGCCACTTGCCCGGACCCAGATCTCTGTCTGAAGTTTCAGACTTGTATTTTCAACCTCTGACTGAATATATAAATGACCCAAAGGCATCCTAAGCCTTTGCTGATCAAATTCTATCCCTCTGACCCAATAAGCATATTTTCTATTCTGGCTAATGGTGGCACCATCACTCTGTTGCCCAAGCTTGGATTCACGCTATACAGTCCAGCTCTCCTCCACCCCTCCACACTTGATGAATTACCAAACCCTGTCGATCTTCTCAGACATGCCTCTCCCAGTTGGCTTCCTCCCTATTCCACTTCCACTTAATTCAAGTGTTTATAATCACCTGGGCCACTGCACAGACTCAAATCCAGAGAGCCCCTGCCACCACTGCAGCTCCACTGCATCCCGTCGTGCACAACTCGGCAACAATTAGCCTGTCTTCAAGCCAGCATCCGATGCCGTTACTCCCCCGTTTAAAAACCTCCATTGGCTCCCCGCTGCCTAGAGGGTAAAATCTAAAACCCTGTCTCGGCACACCTGCTCCTTCAAAATCCGCCTCCAACCTACTGTCGACTGCATCTCCTAACGCCCCGCCCCCCACTCGGTTTCCCTATGCTCCAGCCTCTCTGAATTTGTCATGTTCCCAAATACATAGCATCTTTTCCTCATACAATGCCAGCACTCATGTTGTTTCTTCTTCTATCACGCTTGGAACTCCCTTTCTTCCACTTTTCACTCGGCAAACTCCTATCTGATCAGCACAGACGGCGTCCCCTCTGTGAAGTCATCCCCAGCACTCAGGCAATGAACGATGGATTCCCTCCTGCCCACACTCTGCACTACCACCTTGTCTTCCACTTCACCCCTTGGCCAGTTGCCAGTTCCATTAAGACGTAAAACTCTGAATCTCACGGTCTAACACAATGCCTAGCCTACAGCGGGTCTCATTGTTTTGAGAAAGGACAGGAGTGAAGAAGGTATGTCTTACCTGCCACAGGTTGGTGCGGTCTGGCTGGAACTGGTTTCCCCAGGGGTAAATCTGACCTGCCAGGAGAGCAAGGAGACAGCAGGGGAGGGAGAGGAGAAGAGTTGGGAAAGACAGAGCGAGGGAATCCAAAGGAAGTTGGGTGGTGATGGGAAAAGAAGGCTCCCTTACTTGTATTTCCCATGCCCATCCCTTCCACTCACTGCATTGCATTAGGAGCCCCGGCCTCCTGTTTTACTCCAGGGCAGGGCAGTCCTAGGTGTGGCTCCGATGAGTGCCAGTCTGTAAACTCTGTTACCAGTTCATGTTGAGATCGATGCAGAAGTTGAGAGTAACCATTGAGAAACTTGTCAGTTGGGCTTAGCTTGGCTAAATGAACAACCTCATTTATCACAGTCATAATTTTGACTATTGTTATAGCTGCTGTTCATTCAAAGAGTGTGTAGAGGTGCTGAATATGGGGAATTGCTATTTCACTCTCATAACTTTTTGTTTTAGTTAGGATTGCAGAACAATAAAGTTAGGAGCAAATAGCATTTTTAAAAAATACTGATCCCTATATATCTATGGAAAAGGCATGTAGTTGGATAACTCCTCTTTTTTTTCTAAGCTATGTTTTTCTGATTGTAGTTTTTGAAATGTAACGTGTCTGTGGAATCTGCAACCATAAAAAAGTTTTATGTGTTTTTTTCATTCCATTTTTCCAGTTATTAATTTTTATTGTATTTTACATAGTATTGGTTCTTAGATTAGAAATGAAAATGGCAACAGCAACTGGTCCTTCACCACACACTTTAAAAAGTACTGCCTTAGGGAGCATGGACCCTGCCCACCCTCTAAAGCCCCCTGTGCAGGGTAGCATGGAGAGAAGAACAAAGGGAAATCGCCTTGGCATCTCTATACCCTTCAAGCCCCCTCGGGCAGCAAACTCCCACTCTTCCTCAGTGGGCAGTCGTTTCCCCCGCCAAGCACAGTAGGCACGAGCATCATTCCAGCTCACGTGTACCACGGGAAGCTCCAGTCTCTCTCGGATGCCAGAGCCGGGACCTGCAGGCTGACAGCCAGGACGAAGTGAGACAGGCTTCTGGGGGCTCATGGAAGTCTGAGGAAGGCTAGGCTTAGGGTACCTGAGTTCAACCTTTACCACTAGGTGAAGCAAGGAAGTTTGAAGAGATAGCCTGGTGAGTGAAGAGAGCACCAGAGTCAGAAAGAAGACACCAGCCCTGGCTGGGTGGTTCAGTTGGTTGGAGCATCGTCCTGTACACCAAAAGGTTGTGGGGTCGATTCCCAATCAGGGCACATACCTAGGTTGTGGGCTTGATCCCTGGTTGGGGTGCGTATGGGAGACAACCAATTGACATTTCTCTCACATTGGTGTTTTTTTCCTGTCTCTCTCTCCCCACCCCTCTCCCTTCCTCTCTCTGTAAAATCAATAAATAAATCCTCGGGTGAGGATTAAAAATAAAAAAAGAAAGAGAGACTAAACATGAGACTGAAAAGAAAAATGGGATAGGTAAGGGGAAAATGATTAGGGTAGAAGAAAACAAGGCTGCTTGGCTGTTGTCCTGAAATATTCTGTCATCCTCTTTTAACTCAGTGTTCCTAGATGGCAAGGGGTGTAGGGAAGTCAGCCCTCCAGGGGTAGAAGACAAGGTGAAGGAACCAACCCTTACCTGTCTCCAGAATGCCCTTTCCACTGGAAGCCACCAAAGAACAGGCTACAAAGAAGAAAGAGCATGATTAGAAACAGGAGCATGACTGCAAGATGCTCTAACCCAGCAAGGGCACCTGCCTCCTGGTCCCAGTGGGGAGGCAGAGCAGAGACTTCAGACGGAGACTCACGTGGTCCAAGTGAGGCTGTGTCTGGAATCTTTAAAGCACGACATCTCACAATCCTTATTAGAGGGAAGGTTTGTCAAGATGTTCTCCTGCTTGTTCAGGATCTATCTTGATCCCAGTATGTATCTGGGTCATTACAGAGTCTCTGCAAAAACCAGCTCAGGCTTCACTTCCTGGGAGTACACGTTCATTTGACTCTTCCAGGGAGGGCTGCCCTCCCTTCTTCCCTGCCTCCAGCTCTCAGGTTTGATTTCTACGGTGGCCCAGGTGACCCCATATCCCACAGCAGCCGAGGCCCAGGTCCCACTCTCATTCCCTCAACTGCAAGCCCAGGTTTTCTCACCTTCATTTGCTGAGTTGCTTTGTTTCTAAGCTCATCGGAGACAAAATCCTCAAAGACAAAGCTCCACCCAAACATCTCAGCCTCTGTCCGGTACTTTTTCTCCCTGACAAACTCCCTGAAAAGACATATTTCACTTTGTTCAGCTGAAAGGGTTCTGTGCTCCACCCTCACCTCTCCTGCTTCAGAAAAGTTCATATATTCTTGTCCTAGAAGTCGCAGATCACAGAGTTCTCAGGAACTCCAAGGAATTAACCTGAAGCCCTGAGCAGATTTTCTGTCAAATTCGTTGCTGCTTGTGTAATTCACATAGAGTAAAATTGCCTTTTTAGTGTATTTTCTGTGAGGTTTGACGAAGCATATAGTCACTGTCACAATCAAGGAACAGAGCAGTTTCACTAAACACACCCCAAAATGCCCTTGTGCCCCTATAACTACTGATCTGTTTTTTGTCCCTTTGGTTTTGCCTGTCCTGGAATATAAATTCACATAAATTAAACCATACAGTATGCAGTTTTGTGCTTCTGAGATTCATCCATATTGTTGAATGTATCAGTGGTTTGTTCCTTTTTATTGCTGAGTAGCATTTCATTATATGGATATACCATATTTGTTTATTCATTCACCAACTGCAGGTCATTTGGGTTATCTCCAGTTTTTTGAGATTATAAATAACGCTGCTGAGAAGATTCAAGGGTGGGGGATGGGTCTTTCTTCTGTAAGATCTTTCTTAGATACCTAATCTCACAACAGTCATGGGAGGCAAGCAGAACAGATGTTATCATCACCATCTAACAGAAGAAAGAAACTGAATCAAATAAAAATAAGTTGCTGAAAAAGCAAAAAAAGAAAAAAATGTTTAAAAAAAAGAAGAAAATAAGGTGCTAAGATTTGAGAATGGATTTTCATATCGTTTGGTATGGTGCAGCAAATTTCAGCAAGCAGGTGGCTGAGGTGAGATAGCTTGTTCTCATTGTTTTCATTATCACCTGTCTGTGCCAGCCCTCTGATACAAAAAGGTGCTGTTAACCATCAGAGGGGCACTGAGAATAGAGGAGTTGATTAGATTTGGTAGCAGTAGCTATTGACCATCCTCAGAGCCTCTGAACAGAGCACCTGAAGATTGAGAATCTTACCAGAAAGGCAGACAAATTATGGCTTCTAAGTGAAGGTCAGGGGCTTGTTAGAGGTGACATTATATTTCTATCATATACTAGGTCATAATTTGAAATATGCATACACCTGTCTACTTTGGTTTGTCATGATATGGTGTAAGTCTAATCAGAAGTGATTTCTCCTTCAATTTTAATAACTTTCCTGTTTAATGCTTTTAAAAAGCATATATAGGCAGTACCCATGGTATTGTAGAAAATGAGAAAATACAGGTAGGTAATAATAAAAAATTAAAATAATCCATTATCACACCAACAAAGACATATCATTCCATATCTCCCTGCCCTCTGCCCCTCTCTCCCCACCCTACCTTGTTTAACAAGATGCTTCCTTGAAATTATTTTTATTTGGAAGCCACAAAAACATGGCCAACTAATGCTTTCCACTTCTTTTTTAATGCACATACATTCTATATATGTAGTTTTTTAAAAAATGGGTTCACACACTCTATATGATTTTGGAAGCAATTTTCCTCACTTAACATCTCATAACTCTTTTTGACAACAGGATTTTAAATGGCTGATAGTATTCTGTTATACTGATCCAATATGTTTAAATAATCCTCAAATTGTTAGGATTACAAATGGAGACAATTGAAAGAGTTGTTTACAATGTCATCTTTTTAGCTAAATGTTTTTGGACAATCATAGTTCTTTCCTTAAGGCAAATCCCTAGAGGTAGGATCACAGTCAAAGGGCCTGAGGAGGATTCCAACAATTCTTATGCTTATTCAGTGTGCGTCTCCTGAGTTAGTTTTTCCCCAACCCCTTTTATCTTAAAAAGCTGTAACTCTACAAATGTAACATTTAAGTCATTTCCCACATTTGCTTTATTGTCTTCCTGTTTCCTCTCTTTCTTCCCCCACCACTTCTCTATATATTCACTGCTGTACCATTTGAGGGTAAGGTACAAAATGTATCACCTTAAGGAAACTAGGACAGCTAAACTTGGCTTCTTAGAATGTTCGACTCCTAAAACAAGGCCATCTCCCTAAGTAAGTATAAAGGGCATTTAAGGCACTCTAGCTTGCATGACCCTTCTCCTAATCCCTTCTCCCCTGTTAAAGAGATTTGTATTGAGTGTCTCACTTTTGCCCACATTTCTTAGTGCTATTCCCAGTGTAATGGAAAACCCACTGGCTCAAGAGGCAGGAAATCTGAATTACAGACCCAAGTCTACCTCTAATGGAGAGCAAGGTAAACCTCTTTGGACTTCAGATTCTTCATTTGTCAAATGTATATAACACATGCCACAGCATTACTGCAAAGATATATGATACTAAACAAGCGCGTGTCCTTTTAGACGTAAAAAATGAAGATTAGAAAGAGCCTTGCCCTGGCTGGTGTGGCTCAAAGATTGAGTGCCAACCTGTGAACTGAAGGGCTGCTGGTTCAATTCCCAGTCACGGCACATGCCTGGGTTGTGGGCCAGGTCCCCAGTTGGGGTCGCACAAGAGGCAACCACACATTGATGTCTCTCTCTCTCTCTTTCTTCCTCCCTTCCTCTCTCTCTAAAAATAAATAAATAAAAAAGGAAGGAAGGAAAGAAGGAAGGAAGGAAGGAAGGGAGGGAGGGAGGGAGGGAGGGAGGGAGGGAGGAAGGGAGGGAGGAAGGAAGGGAGGAAGGAAGGGAGAGCCTTTACTCCTGGAAGAATATCTGATGTACCTGAAATCTTTGTTGGTGACAGGAAATACGTCAATAGCAAAAGGTTTTACTGTCACTTCCCGGGCAGGTCCTTCACCATCTCTGCCATCTGGTGAATTTGTTCCCATCTGGAATCTCCCACCTGGCAGTTGAACCATGTTAGTCACCTGGCCATTCCCTGAAGAGAAAAAATAAAAGAGCCATCAGTAATACATGAATATATAAAAAACAAATGGCAATATTTATTTTGGATCATATGTAATACTCATGAAAATGAGTACTCATCAACAGAAAATGGCAGCCTAAAATTTTGGCCTTAAATTCTTGTTCTACCACTTAATTTGTGGGATGACCTTGGGCAAGGCGAGTTACTTAATCTGAATTTCAATTTCTTTATTTATAAAATGGGAATACCATTTATCTCATAGGCATGAATTTAAATGTGTAAAATGTTGAGCACATGGTAGATTTTCAACAAATGTTAATGTCCTTACCACTCCATTCCTCCACACAACCACCCTTTTTCCCACCTACGTAAATCTTGACACTATATTCTCAAATATATCTAGCATCTTTCTAACTATACTTCTGCTTATGCTGACTTTCTCTTCCTCTCCACTTGTTAATCTCTTAAAAATTCTTACTATTATATTATGTACTTCATAAAGGAAAGGACTACATCTATTTTGCCAGTGTATCCCTGGCACCTAGCACAAGGGCACAATAATTATCAAATAATTGAATGAGCTCCTTCATACTTGCTGTTTGAGTGCCTCAAAAAATCAAATGAAAAGGATCTTTAATTCGACCCCCTTATTTAACAGGAGGGAAAACAGGACCCAAAAATAAAAGTGACTTAGAAATCTAGTTAGCAGGAGATAGGACTAGGTCCAGTCTCTTTACTTCCAGGCCAGTACTGTCTCCAACAGGCCATACTTCTCAGGCTTGACGTACTACTTGTTGGAGTTATGTTTCTACCTAGTAATGTCTAAGAACCTTAAGTTCCTTAAAGGCAGAGTCCATGTCTTTTCATGTTTCTCAGGATTCTATTTTTTGGTCCTCTTCTCATCCTCATTCTGATATACTCACACTGATGATTTTATTCACTTCAAGGGGGAAAAAATGGAGCAAGCAGGAAAAGCACAGAATAAAAGAGAACTAAGACAAAAACATACACTTACAACATGTGAAGTGTATTTTGACACTAATTCAACAAGTAAACTGTAACTTAAAAACATGGTAGGTAAATCTGAACCCTAACTGGACATTAATTCTGTAGGTGGAAAATGGTATGGTATTTTTCTTTTCGTGACTTGATTTTTTGGCTGTTCAAGTTGAATTATTTACAAATAAATTGTATAATGCCTGGATTCACCTCAGTATGACCCCAGGGGAGGGGGAAGTGGGTTACCGAGGCAGTACTAGCAATATATTGGCAACTGTTTAAGCTGCGCGATGGCTCCGTGGGGAGTCTGCTCTCTTATGTTCGAAAGATGTCAAAATAAATTAAAAGTAAAAAGGGAAATCCGACATGAGCAACATGAGCTTTTAATCGTCTCGCTGAATAGGCAATCTTTGCGAGGTGCCTCAAGCTACTCCAAGCCTGAGCAGAGGGGCCACCGTCTCCTTTCCCACCGGGGTGAAGCGCCCCGCCCCCTTCCAGATGACTCCTGGAACAGATGGTGCCAGGGGAAGGTGGGCAGGCTAGCAAGCCAGCTGACTGACCTAGCTCGATCCATGGGCCAGGAAGGAGCGGCAGCAGGGTCAGCAACAGCGAGAAACTCATGCCAGGAACAAACCACCGCAGCAGCAGGAACTGGGTACGCACGCCTTGCTGCTCTACTGCGCATGCGCTCCACAGGCACCACGTCGATCACCGCACTGCGCGCACTGCCCCCTTGCGCACCCTCCAGAAACAAGTCAACTGAAGGGCATCCCAGGAAGTCCCAGGAATAGGCTGGGGCCTTAATTTAAGGTGGTCGGGGGAAGTTAAGATACAGCAATTCACAATTCTCTCATAGTTATGTTGAGAGCCATTATCATTTTAGAATCCCCTTCATAACTTTGTGAACGTCTGGACTGACTTCCTTCTCTTTTACACTCAATTCAGATTCCTTTTGTGCTCTGGAATACCATTGCAAGATCACAGACAATGGTTCAAGTTAAACATTTATTGCACTCATTGCAGCCAACTGCCAAGTCCTCAAAATACAAAGTTCAGCAACACAATTTCACCTTTAATGACTGTACAGATGTATCAACTGTATAAAAAACGATTTTATGGAAATATGTAGTATAACTTAAGGGAAAAAATGGACACTGCATGTCTTGGAATGGGTATTTCCGCATAAGGTCCTGGTGTGAAAATACGGTCTACCTGAAAATCTCTTAACTAAGCCTTCAGGTCATTGTTTTACCTGTATTTTCATTTTTGCCACTTTATAAATTTGTAGCTCTTTCAACTCTCTTGCCTGTAGTTTACCCATCTTTCTACCCATTCCCACTTACCTATCCTGGGGAGCATTTTAGCAAGGCTACTTCAGTGCATGAAAAGTCCAATCCTTTTACTCATACCAATTTATACTACGTGAACAGGGATGTTTTCAAAACCTAAGTTACATGTTATTTATAGGAATATAAAAATTTTAATCTATTAAGGGAACTACTGCATAAGTTAAAATACATTAGAAGAAATTATTAAACCATTAAAATTTGATTTTCAAGGAATATTTAATAAGGTAGTAACATATGCTTTTCTAACATATACTTTTGTATCACAGAAGCTAAAATCAAACATGTTGTGCACTGGGTAAAAATGGTCTGCTTTATGTGTATACACTGAATGCAATTTAAAAAATACTGTAATTTTAATTTCAGGCTTTGGAATTTGTATAGGTGGTGCCAGTGTTCTCTCCTTTCTTCATATGGGAAAAAAAAAAATTCCTCTGAATATCATTTGAAGCTAGGACAAACATTCCATAGCTGTATTCTTAGGATCACTCTGTAGAATCTTCATGATTCAGACAATACCAGGGAAGCGTCAATTCAACTTTTTAGAGAAGACATTCCAGCTCGCATGATTTCATCAACCAGGAGAATGTTGGAGGCAATCACAGTGCTGACAAGGGGGGAAAAATATCAGATTTCAGATATGAACCCTAATTCAACTCAGTATCAAACTAAACCATGCAAATTACATTCAGTTAAAAATTTCCCCTTTCCCCTCCACACATAAAAGTCAGATTTCGTTTCTACACTTCGTTTTTTACATTACTCCAGGGGAGGGGGAAGAAAGAAATTAAACAGAACACATCAAATTAAAAGGGTATGGTGATTACTTAAAGGTTATTTTAGTTTTGCCTTTCCCAAACTTACCAGGAATGAAGAAGCTGTTTCTTTACACAGTAGTTATCCCATATGCCTGCTTCTGCTGCCACCATTGGCTCACCTGAAAAGTAATCCAGTAGTCTTAAAATCATATACAGTAGACTGTAAGATCAGAATGCTGTAAGAGTATTTTTTGTGCTTCTCTGCTCATCATTGATCACTCTCACTTCTTCCAATATTAACTATGGGAACCCAAATTTCCTCAATTAGTCCAGTTTTGTGCTCCAGACCATGACTACTGTGCACAACAGTACTTCTGATGAGTGACCAATGTGTATGTAGAAAACTTCAGCTGACAGGAATGCTCTGTTTGGTCACCAAATGTTTGAACATTTTGTTTTTCTGGACACATTCCCATTTGTCCATATGAACTTACACCACTTCAACTATAATCTGGCCAAAATGGGCTTATCATTTTCCTCATTCCGAAACCTTTTTTAACTTAAATGTAAATGATGCTATTGACATAAGTCTTAATTACACATGTCGACTGGACGTATCTCAGTTATCTCTTCCACTCTGTATTCAGGTAATTTGTGTTTTTACACTGGCCTAAGACCAAGGCTTTAAACAAAAGCTTTGGTCATGACATTTTGTTACATTTCTTCCCTTCTGCTAGCATTAATTGCTATCCTAAGCCTTTTTCCATCAGTGAATATGATCTAATGTATTTTCCTACCAAAGTCACTGATAAAAAATTGAGTAGACCCAATAGGAAACCTTTCTATACTAACCTGAACCACCACTCAGCAATATCAACAAATCCATACCCTTAGAAAGTATTCAAATGTATAGTCTATTCCCTTAATTACTTTATCTAGTTACTCAATTTCTGTACCATTATTTTAGAACCCAGTTTACTCACAGGACTAATGAGAAAATATATAGCAACTCCCCAAGATTCTTTTGATTCTTTTCCTGCCTTTACTCCATCTCTATTATCTAGTCTCTTACCTGTGTTCAAGTCCACACCCACAAGTTGACCTGATGCTGAATGTTCTGCTTGAACTTTAACTAGTGTTTCCTGAAGATCAAAACCAGAATTCTGAGCAAGAACCTAAAGCAAGCAAATTTAATTGTTTAAAATACAGGACCTAAGTATTGACAGTTAAGCACACAATAAATAGTATTTCCGATTCGTAATCAATAGAAAATCATGGTATCGATCCTAGTTTAACTTAAAAAGCAAGCCTGTAGTCAAGTACATCCCCTACACTGCAAATCCTCTTAAAATAATTCTCTATTGCCATCTGAAACCTCAGGTATTCACGTTCCTTTTTCTGAAGAACCATACATTTGGATGTTCTAGTGTAAGGGTGAAAACTGATCAAATTATTAAAAATCCACATTATCAAAAAGCTTTCACGTTCATCACCTGAATCATTTTGGTGTATTTTAGAAAATTGACTGTTAAAAGTAGTCAGACCTTGGGAATAATGAGCAATGCATCAGCAAATGCTTGAACTCCAAGCTGGGCCCTGCCCTTGATGCTGGGCTTATGTTTAATCAGGGCTTCTGCCATTGCCACTTCCACTGCACCAGCACCTGGAACTACACAGCCTGTTGGGTTGGGCAGGAGAGAAAGAGAGAAATGCTAAGCTACAAAGAAAACTGTAGAGTTACAAGAAAACATTTAAGTTAAAACACACATACATGAAAACCATTCATTTCTTTAGAATTCAGTATAACCACAAAAATTTTAACACTGCATTTGAAAGCAATACAAGCAACATATCAAATAGCATGATTTAACTAGCACCTGAAAGCTCTTTCACGCTCTTATTTGTATTCACTTCTAGTAATGATATGCTATGAAGACACGTGGCATACCATTATAGGCACTTTAAAGGGAAGACTTTACTTTTGCATGGTGTCTGGCTGTGTAAACTACGGACAAAAAGAACACAGTATTCAGCCATGCCTTTCAGACTAGCAAAAACAACAGTTTGAGTAAAGTGAGGATCTTACCATCATCAATAGCATTTTTAACAGCCCTCAAGCCATCTCTTATTGCATCTTTGATTTGAGTGAGCGTGTGCTTATTTGGTCCTTTGATCAATAATGTGACAGAGCGAGGATTGTTACATTTCTCAATAAAGGTGAATTTCTCTTCTCCCTGTGTAAAGAGGACATTTCAAAACACAAGACATGGTTGTACAAAGAATGATCAGAGAATAAATGATAAGTAATGTATTAGAAAACAATACTGACCACATTAAAACAATTTCTTAAAAAAAAAATTCACACACAGAGGAAATGTAACTTTCCACCAAAGAAGTAACATCACTACACATAAACCATCAAAATATATATAAACAAAGCATAAATATCATCCTGAGTTTGAATGAGTCTTTACTACTGAAGAATTCATGAGACAAGAAAGTTTTACCTTTTAAAAGAAAATATACTTACCAATGTATACTCATAGACAAGTCCTGCATGTCCCAAACAATCAGGATTTAGGTCATCAAAAGAATTTAGAGCTATCCCACCACAAGCAAGAGTCAGCCTGAAATATTGAAGTATATCAAGGAGAGAAGTGATTTTTATTAGTTATGTTGAAAGATCAATAACTTTTAGGATACAATCTTTCAGACTTACATACTAAAATTATATTTTAAAATATATTTTAACTTAAGCCCTTCCATTTACCACTCATTCAGATTCAGATCAGCTGAAAACTGGTCTTTTCTCCTAACCATCCACTTAAACCACTCTCAAGTCAGCAAACACTACTCAGATATGAAATCTAAAGATGGACAAGAGCTTTCTTGTATTTCTCAGAAATCCTTTGATGCTCTCTCAACACTGAAAGATATATACAATCTATGCCATAGTTTAAAAATAAAACAATGTTCATAGTGGCATTATTCATAATAGTGAAAAGGCAGAAACCCAAATAAATGCCCACTAAGATAAATGGATAAACAAGGATGTGATATTATCCATACACAGAATATTAGTCCTTAAAAAAGAATGAGCCATGGCTGATGTGGCTCAGCGGATTCAGTGCCGGCCTGCAAACCAAAAGGTCACCATTTCAATCCCCAGTCAGGAGGGCACACGCCTGGGTTGTGGGCCAGATCCCAGTTGGGGGTGTGCAGCAGGCAACCAATCAATTTGATGTTTCTCTCCCTTTCTACCTTCCTTCCTCTCTCTCTAAAAATAAATAAATAAAATCTATTTTTTTAAACAATGAAATTCTGATAACTACAATATGGATTAACTTTGAAAATACTATGCTAAATGAAATAAGCCAGACGTAGAAGGGCAATTATTATATGATTCCCTAATATGAGGTACCAAATTCTTAGACAGAAAGCAAAATAGTTTTTATGGAGGAAAGAAATGGAGAGTTATTGTTTAATGAGTAGAGAGTTTCAGTTTGCAACCATGAAAAAGTTCTGAAAACCGGTAATTGTGATGGTTGCACAACAATGTAAAAGTACAATGCCACCGACTTTTTTTACACTTTAAGAAGTACATAAAATGGTAAAATTTGTATTATGCGTATTTTATCACGGTATAAAGAAAATGCAAAAATAAGTGTGTGTGTGGGGGAATAATCTCAGTTAACTTGCATAGATTCTTATCACTCAGATAATCTGCAATCCGTACCTTTCCATATTTCTCTTTTTAGCTCTGCGCAGAGCTACTATGCCTTCTTTTGCAAGAGCATCTAAGGAAAATGGGTCAATTCCCTGTAACAAAGAAAATTTAGTTTCTCAATATATTTCTCCTGATAAATAAAAATGAATAGACTAGTTTATAAAGCAATATTGATTCTCACCTTTTGATTAATAACAACAAATCCTTTATCTGAGTCACCACAGACTTTCTTTTTTAGTTCTATTATTTTTTTAACTCTGTCTTCAATGAATTTTCTTTCGGCTTTTACTAGTTTCTCTCGCTCTTCTGCACTCTTGTAAAAAAAGCCAGAATTCACTTCTCTATTAAAAAAAAAAATAGGACCAGGGGGAGAATGTTATTTTTTGAGAGGATGAGCCAACAGTCTAAGGAACTGGGTTATTAGTCTTGATTTAACAATTATTCATGTAATTCCGCCTGCCCCTGGTATATTCAGAGTTTATTTCATAAAATTATATCAAACCCAATTGAGGCGTACTATTCATACAGTGAAGAAAGAAGGGACTTGACCAAAATGCAAGTTCCTCTGATTCTTGATTCCATTTCTAAGAAGATATAAACTCACGTTTTTTCATATTCTAATGACACATTGCATGTGAGAATGTAGGCATCTTCTACTCTTTTTTTCATATCAGGATGTCGTGCTCCATGGTCCAAAACAAGACCTCTGATTAAGCTGTTAAAACACATAAAAAATATGGCAATCACTTCATAAAGTATATAAACATCTAATCACTATGTTACACGCCTGAAACTAATATTGTCTGTTAACTATTACTAAAAATTAACCTAAAAAATAAAGTGTATGTGACTGACTTTTAGGTGGGATATAGCATATGCCAAGAAACGTAAAACAATGAATCGAGACTGTAAGAATAATTTTCACGCAACAAGCTTCACTTGAGTTATTTGAACAAGACTGCCAAGTAAAACCTAGGTAGGGTCAATTATGAAAAAGCAACATTCCAGAACATGACAAAAACCACTTATCTTGTACAGAAAGTTCTGCAGAGAAAATGTCTCAACTGGTAAGCTATCAAGTTGTTTTTAAATTCTTTCTGAAAACGTTTTCAAGCTAGATCTTTGAAATATATTTTAAAATTCCCCAACAGTCTCCTATTAGGCTTTGTACCCAACAGTTCAATAAATTGCAAACAACTGATATAGCTCAATTTTCTGAATCATTCTGATTATAAATACATCATACCATTAACTTCAAGAAGAAATATTACTAAGTAAATTACTCATCTAGGCAATATATATTAATTCTAGACAAAAAAAACCCAAAACCACACACACAAAAAATCGCCCCCCCAATGTGTTTTATAAAGCACCCGTAAATTTGTAAACACATTTTCTAAGTGTTTTACAGTATTCCACCACTTACCTTGTATCGGTTTCAGATTTATGTTTCATTTCCATGATCTCAACCATGAAGAGGTCAATAGGCTCATCTTGTTTTTTAATGGCCAATATGGAGTCAACTACAGCCTACAACAAGAGTATATCATTAAATGAATTTGAGTTGCACAAGATGCTTATGTTGTTTGTTGTAAAAAGAACTTTAGACAGATTCTCAACTTCAAAATTTTTTAAATTGTCTTTTTCTATGATCTAACAGAATACATTTGTAAAGGGCTGAAGTCATTTACATTTCTGAAATCTCAATGTCATTACCTAAAGAATCGCTGACATCCCTCCTAAGCTATTTTATTAAAAACGTTGTAAAAGAAGCTTTTTAATAATGTAACCTTCATTTTATAAACATTTTAACGAAAGCTCTGATTATACCTTTATAACCTGGTCAGGTATATGATTATTTTTGTCATCTTACATTTTTTTAGGGACACATATCAGGGTAATCATTGTCACAAAAATAAACCTACTTATTTCACAATATGATAATGTGAAGACTTTAGGGAGCACCCGATAATTGAAATTTGTAAGTGCACTAATGTTTCTAATATCAGGGGTTTTAACTCAACACATACCTCTGTTAAGACATCTGCAAGTTCAGCATGAACTTTAGTACGCAGAGATGTCCTGGCCACATCTATGAGTGTTTCTCTGTCCATCTCTTTGGTGACTTTGACTTGTTCTAAAAACTGAAGTGCCTTTTCCTTTGCAGCTTCAAATCCTTCTGTTATTATTCTGGGATGAAGACCCTATAATATAGAATTACAAAACCACCACTGAGTTTTTCAATTAGATGTAATATTTTACAATAAAGTACATTTCTGAAGATTTACACTGTATCATTCATTACCTTTAGTAAAATGTGCTGTCTTTCTGAATACATTTAAAAGGATAAATAGTCCTTTCAATGCAGAGGAAAAGGACAGACATTGCTTTAGCACAGAGTCAAAGCCAAGGGAACTATAAAGCACACTTGGGTGTTCACTGTGCCAACCACAAGGAACAATGACAAAAACTCAACGTGTCACAACCTACAGTCAATAGGACCATTGTATCTTTCCTACAGGTAACCTGAAATAAATTCACATCATTTAATAATAAAAAGTAGAAAGGGAGACTAAGTCTGCTTTCTGTCTTCCCAGGAAGTTCTTCCTTACATCAGACTAGTCTTCATTGAGGTCTGTTTTACTTTCAAACTACTCAGGGCTAAAAAAGTTGCAGAATTTTTATTAGAAGTTACATTTTTGGTTGGCCTTTTCCTTATAAATATGCCTAGTACCAAACATCCCATTTTTAGATCTCAATTATCAATCTACATTATAGAGAGATGTAAATCATATATGCAATGCGACTTGATTAAAAAAACCATTCAGGCCATGGAAGAAGGTTCCTTAACTTGACCAGGATCACAATAAATTTGTGTCAGACAAAGATAAAGACTCTGGTTCCCAAAGTTAGGCCCCCTGCTCTTCAAATTCTATATATGCCCTCAGGTACGATTAATACATCAATATGCATAAAGCTAAGATAATTTCTTATAAACGATAAACTATCACAAACACAAGAATCATGCATACTTCAGAAATGTAGAGGTCCGCCTGTTTCAGCAGTTCTCCAATGATTAGAACATTGGAAGTGGTACCATCACCAGTTATGTCATCCTGGGCTGTTGCTACTTTGGCTATTAAGGAGGCTGTTGGGTGCTGAATTTGCTGAAAACAGAAAAACAAAAGCACAACTTAAAACACTGCAAATATACCTTAAAATGTGTGAAAGCCCTCAAGTGCTATGTACATAAATTGCTTAAGTGTTCAGCTACATACTTCTTTAGTTAAAAATCACCGTTATTTTGCATTATCAGTTTCTGCCAATCAAAACATTTTCATGTGTGAATCTGTTTACTTCTCAAGATTATCTTCAATTTACTGGTAAGGAAATCTATGGCTCAAAGTTTACTTAAGGTGATAAAGCTAACAAATAACAAATATTTTCAAACCCATGCATGCCTCCTTATGACAAATTTAGGACACTTGAGGGAATAATCCAGGTGCCTTCTAAAATGAAAGCCCAGCAGCCCTCCAGCATTACTTGGCACTGACCAAACACAGGAAAAATCAATCAATCAGTGGATGCTAACTCACTGTATGAAAAGGCTTTGGAAGAACAAGATATTCATCAAGTCTCCACAGATTCTTAATTACAAAGGATTCAATGAAGGTCCCCACACTGCTTTTAGTTTTCATGTCTCCTTATTCTCCTTTAATCTAAAACACTTCCCTTGCTTTTATGTCTTTGGGGACACTGACAGTTTTTACAATCCAGCCCAGTCAGACTATCTCCTAATCTAAATTTGCTCTTGTCACCTATTTTTGACACTATACAGATGATACTGTATATACTTGTTTTTATAGGTTATTGTTAAATTGTAAATGTTTAATGTGCTCCTCTGTGTTTATCCTGTTTCACAATTTAAAAAAGTAAAAATAAAAAAGCCATGTAGATAATGGTTTCTTCTGACACTAAGTTTAACTATGACTCCAACTGTTCTCAGCTAGCATAGGCCACCATTTAACCCACTAAAAACAAACAAAAACTACACATTCTAGGTTAGCCAGTCATTACTGAAGGTACTTACAAAGACTTGGAAATGTTGAAGGCAAGGTACCCTACTATCAAAATCCTAAATTTTCTTTCTGAACTCAAAACACAGGCAAGTCACTTCCTTTTCTTGGATTTGAAGTGCTAGATTTAGGAAATTTAGAGATGTGTAAAAAGACTGATCCTCTCAATAATCTCAAATTCTGGGTCACTGGGACTTTTAAAATGGTTAAGCAAAGACTTTTCTCTCCCCTCCCGTTGGAGGTGGAGAGATGAGATGTAACGAAGAAAAACAGAATCGCTGTTTTTTTAAAAAAGTATAAACAACCCGCATCATTTTGCCTGATTGTGTCAATTGCTTAGTTTTTCAGATTTTATTAATTTTAGAAATTACAGTCCTTTAACCACAGTCTTAAATGTCAGGAGTAGGGATTCAAAAATAAGCATCAGACTCCAGGGCTCCTCACTGTAACATACTATACTGTCAGTACTGATTACAGTTTTTCTGTGCTCCCTCCACTGTCTGGAAAACTACCTGTTGAGAAGTAACGAATATGATTCCTCCTACCTTAAGAATAAGCAAGATCTTCCTACAAATTGAGTGTTACTGTGAAAAGCCAAGACGTTTTTGACCTAGTATAGCAGTCTCTCACCATTTCATGAAGCAGCACATTGCCATCTTTAGTAAGCTTGATGTCTCCAGCACCAGAAACAAGCCTGTTCAATGGGCAGAAATGACTCAGTGTGACTTTTTCAACGGAGACTCAATTGATTCCCATAAATGAGGCTTTACCCAGATCCCAAGGAGCTGGGGTCCTGGGGTTGGTTCCTCCCTCCCGGTAATAGGAATGGTGCAGTGCCCACGCCCTCCCGTCTGAGAAACAGTCTGCCGAATCCCCAGGGTCGCTGAAGTCCTAGAACATGAGGGAGCGCCGCGCACGCGGGCAGCTTTGTTTTCCGCGGAGGCTGCACCGACTACAAGAGGAAATGGCCGGGCCAGAAATCAGGCCCGAACAGGGAGAACGCGGGAAAAGGGGACGCCGCGGCGGGCGCGGAGGTGGTGGTCTCGAGACCACGACTCCCGGAATCAGGCCCGTGGTGGCGCGAGGTGCGTGATGCCCGCCCAGCCCTACCCTCCAGCCCCGCCTTACATCTTCATGGTGCCCTTAGGCCCCAAGTTCGTCCTTAGCACGTCCTGCAGTCCCCGGGCCGCGCTGATGTTGACCGCCAACGCTGCCTGGGCCCGGGCCACCTCAGCTTTGGGATTCAGGGTCTTCACAGCCGCCATAGCTGAGCCACCAAAAGAAAAGACCCGCACCAATAGATACCCAAAGCCGGCTCAGCGTGGCCGGGAGGCGCTATCCGGGTATTCTGGAAAAGTCGGTCGCTTCCCGCCCGCCCCCAGCGTGGCGACGCCCCGCCACCATTGGGCCGCGTGTCCGCCGGCGCCGCTTATTGGATCGTAGTCCTGTGGCCCCCCTGCTCGCGGGCTACGTCGCCATTGCGCACGCGGGGAGGCTGCTCCCCGGGCAGTAAGAGCTCGCAGGGCTCGAGTTACCAGCCCCCCTAGGGTCCATATTCGGCAGACCCGATCCGTAGGCGAGCTTGGGCTGTGGCCTGACGTACCTGCATTTTACTGGGGAACGGGCGATATTTCTGGGAGGTCTCTGACATTAGGGTGTAGGGTGGGCTTTCTTCATCCCCCACTCTCGCGGTTTATGCCTGTTACCAGCGTTTTCTTGACTACTGTGTGCTTGACAATGTTCTACATCCTGTGGGGGTACTGTAATGAATCTGATAAGGGCTGTAACTAAAAAAGGGGCTATGCAACAGACCTCACAAGGTTGGGGGTGGGATTGGGGATTGTTACATGGCAAGCCTGACGAGCTCAGTAACCAAAAATAAGCACATAGGATGGTCTGATGACAAATTCCGAACTGGGCAGGTCCCAGCAGTAGTCACATCCCAGGCCTATAGCTTCCTTAGCAAAGGCCCATCGTTACCTTAAGTGAGGTCTGGCCATTGATCTTATGCATCTAGGATGACATAGCTTAGAAATGTCTTTTCCTGCCTTTGGAAGACACAACAGTTGGCACTACAGGACCTCTCATTATCTTGTCCCCCTGAATATCATCTCTACATACTGTAAATGTTCACTGTTAACTATCCTGTATGCACCAATGTAAAAGAAATGTTTATCTATTTTGCCTGTTATCCAATCCTAGAGTTTTCCCTGTTATGCTTTCTCCCTCCTCATTAATCTACCACCAACAGATTTCATGTAACCCTCCTGCCTATTATTTTTAGATTATAGGGTATAAAATAAGCTGCAAAACTGCCCTTCTCTGGAGCCTCTCTCAATGTAGTGAGATTTTGCCTCCTGGTGTTATGTTGTCAGTTTGGCTCAGATAAACTCATAAAAATGAGTTTTTTAGGTTTGGACATTTCTTATATCAACAGGACCCTTGCCCAGTATCCTAGATGTTTTAGGCCTAGCGAAAATGAAGTGATGTAATACAAGGTACAGAGTGTTACATTCCTTTAGAAAGCTACAGGATTGGTGTGATGGCAGTTAAATCTTCACACTCAAAACACATTGTTGAGACCTTAGGCCCTCAAAGCAGGTTTGAAAACTCAAATTTGATGGAAAAATGGTGTCCAGTCTTTAAGAGAACTTTTTAAAAAAAAACAGAAAAATCCTGAAAGATGTCCACAATTGTTTCCTAGTATCCAGTATCCTCCCAAATAGTAATGTTTTGTATTTTTATAGATAAAAATGAAAATTGTTCAGAATTTAAAAGGTGCCAAAGGGTATATAATAAAAACTTAAGTTTTCCTCTCCCTGATGTAACTTGCCAGAGAAGCACAATTTCCTTTAGATGCTCTGAATTCTCCCAGATGCTTCCTGAATTTATAAATAAATATATAGGTATTAAATAAAAGCATTTTTCTCCACACAAAATGACAATTTGTAAATACACACTGTTGGGTGTATTATACAAAGTATCTTGGAGATTGTACCATATCAATACAAACAGCATTCCTCATTCTTATTGAGAGCTGAATGATATTTTTTTGTAAGAATGACATAACCAGTCACCTACTGGTTGTTCCCAATCTTCTGCTATTTAGACTGCAGTGAATATACTGGTATATAACGCTTTTATGTGGTTTTGTATATTTGAGAATCAGAAAAGCATCTATATAAGTTTGAGTAATAGCATAAAACAATAGAAGGAGACTCATGATATTACTTGTTATGCATGCAGATTTATTTAACTACTGTTAGGGCTGTATGGGAAAGATTAGAATTTTAGGCACCTGCTTATAGATAGAGAAAGGGGGTATGGACTTTCACTCTCTGGAGGTGCAAAATTTAAGGGGCACTAAAAACTCAATAATCGAGGTCAATAATATTTTAATGCAATATTTTTTAAAAATCAAAATTCATGCAAAAATCCACAATGAACAAATATCAGAATTTTAAATTAGGCATCTCCACTAACATATTAGGCACCAGCCAAAGTCAGCAAAAGAGAAGGAGCCTCATGATTCTTCTAGAGGCAATCTATTTGCATATATCATTTTACTAGTCTTGGTTATCACACATTCAAGCAAATTAATTATTTTCATTATATGATACAAAATAGAGTAGCAAGGAAATGTTATCTGTATGCTGATGTATGTATGGAATGGGAGAACTTTAGAATGGCTTTTGGAGAGTTTCAAACAAAATGTTACATTTTGGGAGGAGATCCATTTTAGTTCATGATTGAAGAAACTGAGGTGGTAGCAGGTGTTTAGCTATTGATTCAGGAAGGATTTCAGTAAAGAAGAACATTTTAAGGAAAGAACCCTAATGGGGCAGAGTGGTATATTAGAATTCCAGAGTCAAACAATTTGAGTTTGAATTCTAGTTTTGCAGTGTTTACCACTATGTGACCTTGGAGAAGTTACTTAACTTTTTTAAAAAAAAATTTATTGGTTGATTTTTAGAGAGAGAGAGGAGGGGGGGGAGAGAGAGAATTGTTCCACTTATTTATGTATTCATTGATTGATTCTTATATATGTAACTTTGGCATATTGGAATGGAGCTCTGACTAGTTGAGCTACCTGGCCAAAGCTAAGTTACTTACTTTTTTATACTCAATTTTCTTCTCTATAGAGTTAAATGACATCTGAGAGAAAATTAAATGAGACTGCATATGTAATGTGTTTCATTGTGCCAGACGTGGAAGGTGTTAAGTAAATTGTCCCTACTGCATTCACATGACGCAATTAACTATTTTATTTTCATAGCGCCTTCATATGCAGTGTCTCATTTGATCCTAAGATGGATCCTTCGAAGCTGAAAGGTCATGTGTGAAACAAGTTTCACAGATGATTACATCAGCACAGAGGTTTAATGACCAACTCAGGGTCACACTGTTGTATTAGGGTAGAGCAAAAATCCTAGGTTTCACCCTTGACTACTGTGTTTGCTTGGATCACCATATCCATATACTCCCTGAATGTTTTCATGTTTACTTTCTTGTTATCATCTCTCTCCACTCCATCCATGTTTTTCTACCCCCATTTCCAGCACTCACGTTTAGGCTGTGATCATTTCTTTCTTGGATAACTACCATAGCGCCCTAATTAACTGTTGCTCTGCCTTTATTCCCCGTAATGCTACTGGAGCGATCTATCAAAAGTGAATCTAAAAGCCACAGCTCTGCTTATAGTCCCTCAATTGTCTCCAAGACCTTAGACTGAAATCTAAATGTCTTTTTTTAAACTTTCATTTTATTATGTTAGTGAAGTTTATTATTAACTAGCACCCCTCTCTAATACCAAAGATTCTTCTAAACTAGTAAACTAAAAGACACAGAACCTAATTTCATAGAGATTACATATCAGTTATTTCTTGCTGTGTAACAATATTTACCATAAACCTAGTGATGATACACCTTAATATGTCTTTAAAAAAATTTTTTTCACTTATGGTTTACAGTCAGTATTATTTTGTATTAGTATCAGGTGTACAGCAGAGTGGTTAGACAATCATACTTTTTTAAAAAATATTTTATTTCCAGAGAGAGGGGAAGGGAAGGAGAAAGAGAGGGAGAGAAACATCAATGTGTGGTCGCCTCCCACATGCTCCCCACTGGGGACCTGGCCCACAACCCAGGCATGTGCCCCGATTGGGAATCGAACCAGCGACCCCTTGGTTCATAGGCCAGCGCTCAGTCCACTGAGTCCCACCAGGAAGGGCACAATCATGTACTTTTACAAAGTGTTCCCCCTGATATTTCCAATACCCAAGTGGCACCATACATAGTTATTACATTATTATTGACTGTATTTCCTATGGCGTACTTTACATCCCCATGACTATTTTGTAACTGCCTATCTGTACTTCTCAATCACTTCACCTTTTCCACCCAATCCCCCAACCACCCTTGCATCTGCCAATCATCAGTCTGTTCCCCACATCTATGAGTCTGTTTTATTTGTTCATTTATATTTTTCTTTAGATTCCACATATAAGTGAAATCACATGGTATTTGTCTTCCTCTGACTGACTTATTTCACTTAGCATAATACCATCTAGGTCCATCCATCTTGCAAATGGTAAGATTTTATTCTTTTTTGTGACTGTTTATTATTCATATTTTTTATCTTTTTTTCTTCATCTTAAAAAAAAAACCCTTAGACATGTCTTATAATACTGATTTAGTGGTGAGGAACTCCTTTAGCTTTTTCTGATCTAGGAAGCTCTTTATCTGTCCTTCAAATCTAAATGATAGCTTTGCTGTGAAGAGTAATCTTGTTGCATGTAGATCCTTTCTTTTCATCACTGAATTTTTCCTGCCAGTACCTTCTGGCCTGAAAAGTTTCTGTTGAGAAATCAACTAACAGTCTTACGGGTGCTCCCTTGTAGGCAACTAACTGCTTTTCACTTGCTGCTTTTAAGATTCTCCCTTTGTCTTTAATTTTTGGCTTTTTAATTATGATGTGTCTTGGTGTGGGCCTCTTTGGGTTCATCTTGTTTGGGCTCTATGTTCTTCCTGGACCTGCATGTTTATTTCTTTCACCAGGTTAAAGAAGTTTTCTGTCATTATATTTTCAAATAAGTTTTCAATTTCTTGCCCTTTTCTCCTTCCAGCACCTCCATGATGTGAATGTTGGATATTTGGATTTTGTGTAAGACAGACCTTACACCACTTAAAAAGTATTTTAAAAGTTCCCCTATGTTTTCTTTTGTATTTTAAAGGTTTTGTTTTTTATTCTAATCTTTGATTCATTTGGAATTTGTTCTGGTAAGGAATGAGATAAGTATCTGTGGTATAATGAAAATATATGTTTGGTCTTTGCCCCTGGTTTCTGGCACAGAACTCCTAAAACCATT